GTGTTAAGGTCACTATAGTCAATCTTATTTTCACAGTCTTCATTAAAAAGTTTAGCAAAATATCTCATCCACCTTTGTTGAATATCTTCTTCTAAGAAAAGTATTTTTTGATCTTCATCTTTAAATCACTTCACTTGAACTAAATCCTTACTACTCCTATCTCTTTGTTTGGCTAACTTATACATATATCTTTCTCCCTCGTTAGTATCTAATCTATTATATAAATCACTAAAAGTTAAGGTCTTTGCATCGCATATTGCTTTCTTAGATTCCTTATGAGACTCTTTATATTTTTCTCAATTATCAGAATTTTTAAAATTAAACCAATTTTTATAATAAATCTTTTTATTCTTAATCTTTTCTTGCACATTTGGATTCCACCACCAACTATTTTTACTATTATGAGCTTTTCCCTTTGATACTCCAAGCACATCTTTTGCAATATTTTTAATATCACTAGTCACTTTTTCTCACATAACATTAGTATCCTCATACGCAGATAAAATCTTAAGATCTAAAATCTTACTCTAAAAAATATTTTATTAATATTATTTAAATGCCCCCATCTAATCCTAGAATATCGTTTTACTTTATTTTTTATTATCTGCCTCTTTATCTTAAAGTACAAAACTAATAATCGATGTTGGGTGTATAAATTTTTACTCGGAATAACTTTACAATCTTTGCAATCTAAACGGTCTAATTTTCTTATAAGAAAATAGTCAATCTGGGTTGTACTATATCCATTTTTATAAGTGATGAGATGCTCATTCCTTTTCTTAAATAAGGTATTAGCAATTGAAAAATCATAAGCTAAACAAAAATTTAATATGTTCTTGCCACCTTCATTTGTTGTTCCAAAATCATAGCCACCATGAATGCTTTTAAAATCATCTACCTCTCTACCAACATGTCCATTTAAATCTTCTCCAATAAAAACTTTTTCTTCTAGAGTTATCTTTTGTAATAATTATTCTAAGTCATTCAAAAAATTTAATTTAGAACTCATATCCAAACCTACTTGAGGAGCATAAGCACTTATAATATTAACAATCTTATCATCAACTACAATCTTTAAAGATATAATTCTATCTCAAATCCTATTAATTTTTATTACATTATCCTTCAAACTCTTATCTATAATAATACCTACACTATTTCTAGTACGACTCCTACTCGAATACCAAAGTTTAAATCCTAAACTATCAATTTCCTTAGCTTCTCTCCAACCCATTTAGTTTCCTGAATGCACAAAATATTTATCTTCCTATGAATCATAATATCTATTAATTCTATTAATTTTTTTATGAGGGAGCATATATTCCAAGTTCATATCCTAATTTTAGTTTCATGAACTAGCTTCTTTGCCCACATCTGTCCTTGATGTGGGAACCCTTGCCTATTTAACACTACACCCGGGCGCCGGTGCAGCGGCCCTTACACACTTGTCACTGTATTCAGGCCATACAGCACGTCGCTTCAAGGGGACGCCCTAGCATTAACTCAATTTCTTAAAGGATTCATGTCATTATTAGTCGACTACCTAACGCAACTCTCTACTTTTCTCATCCAGGACTTGGGACCTGGCAACGGTAGTGTTCAAGGAAACGTTCATTTATGAAAAAATATTTGAGCTTGATTAGAAATCTGATGATTTTGAACATTATATGTCACATTGTAGTTCACCTTTTCCTTTTTCTTTTCATCGTCCCTTATACTTGCATTTAGTTTACTAAGCTCTTACATGCTCTGATCCTTCAATTGTAGGTTAGAATTGTTTCCCCTGACAAGGATTTTTTTCAAGTTTTATCACCCTCATTACGCCTACTTCGAATAGCTACACGTGGATCAGGGTAAGGCTCTTGTGACTTTTGGTTGGAGCATGACATATCATCAAAACATCATTTATTGTGGTTCTTTATGTATTTTCACATGTTATCTTGCAAAGGAGGGCCATAATTGGACCATGGTTAATCTAATATACATTTGCTAGTTATATATGGAAAAATCAGTCTTATGATCTTTTTGATATGGTATTCTGCTACTTCTGCTTTCTTGAACATCAGAAGCATTTTAAGATTTTTGTTGTAACAACTGTGAAAAAAATTCAGTTGCTCAAAAGATGAAAAGCAGTCTTCTTGGAGTGGTAGTTGCGGCTATTTCCTAGAAAGCATTTAAATTAATACAGTTTTTTTTTTCAATTAACTAATTAATTAATTAATTAATTTAATTGTAGACTTGTTATAATTAGAATATTATATTATAAGTATAAGAAATTCATAATCTATACATTTCAATCATTTTATTTTGGGATCTTCATTTTTTTCTCTCTTTTTGTTTAAAAGAAAGTTCGTTTATGGACTGCCATCGTAACTATTAAAGCTTTTAATCTTCACCTGGTTGATCCTTTAACTACCAGTTTGCCAATAACTTAGCTAATGTGAATCTCAAATTTGAAAATCATTGTAGATGTAAATTGTGTGTTAAGATGAATAGTTTGAAAGATGAACTTTTGATTTGATTTTTTTATTTTACATTATTTTTATTTTATTGGGAGTTTTAATTTTAGTAAAATTTTGCGTCCAATGCCTAGGGTCTTACCTTGTTATGAAAGTCTGGTTTTTATTGATTACTTAATTTCCTGGATTCCTTAATTCTAAGTGTAGGGAACTTTGCACATTCTATGATTTTTTGTTTTGTCTACTTACTATTTGTTCAGCGACTTTAGAATTTTGTATTCGTTGGAGGCTTTTGCGATCATCCTCTAATTTGGTTGGCTTCTCTGGCGGTGGAATGTTTTGTTGTACATATTCTTATCTTTTTCCAGTAGTCAATATTCCTTAACTTGCATCCTTGGCAAGTTTTTATGGTAATTTGTCACAATTTTCAGGCATTTTGGTGGAGTAATTGGCGATACTTGTGATTGGACTAGTGTTCTTCCTAATCATGCACTTTGCTAACAATTCTTCATTCAGGTTGAGTGTGTGACTTCAAATTTCCATGTATATGGCTGGTAATGGGATTTAGTAATTATAAATAAGTGTCAGGCATATAGAAAAGGTCATCAATTTTATTATAAATTGGGGGGTCAAGTGAGAGATCTGAATATGTTTGGTTGAATTTATTTTCATATACAAGCGGGTGTCTTACTTTACTTGCTTTTGGAGATCCACTTTCTTTTGAAGAATTTTTCATTGTTCTAGATTTAGTTATGAAATTGATCATATAATTAGTTTTATCCAAATTCAATACATTCTCGTCGTTTAGCAAGTGAGTATATTTTAACTCCTTGCATGACTTTCTTGGCTATGGATTTCTATCCATTATTTTTGGTAGAAGGCCGGGGAGTTTTTATTCTTTTTACAATGATATAAATCTCTCTTATATTTTTATTTGTTGAGCCTAGGGCCAATTCCATATATAATTTGGGTACTCGACCAATTGTAGATATTAAATCTATATTGATTTGAAGAAATTTATCATTATTTTATCCATTGAGATTAATGCTTAAGTCCTTTAGATTAGAAATCAAATAACCTCTTGAACCAGATCCCTTTGGTCATTGAGTTTTTATCTGACTTGATTAATTTCTTGTTTTAGTTTTTCATCAAAAGCAAAGAATAATAGTCGAAGATTAAAATTTGTGGTTTGTAAAGCTTTGTGTGTAGGTTGTGTGATTTTCTTCATCACATAATAGATGCGCAGTAGAAATCCTGGACTTTTAAAATGTCTTACATTGTTAACCTATAATCTTATCTTCCTTTTATTTTCTTTAAAGTTTCATGAGGTTGCTTGTTTTGCAATGCGTTAGGGAATCTGTTATGAAAGAAACATTGTTAAAGGAACACTAGACTCCAATTGCTCAAAATTAGATTTCATTATTTTCAGAATTTGTTTTTGTAGCAGTTTAGAGAACTTAGATCAAACTATATTAGGAGTAAAGATAATATGAAAGACTTTAAAAAAGGTAAACACACTGTTTTAAGAAATTATTTAATAAGAGCTTTAAGAAAGAAATTTTGTTAAAAGGAGAAAATAAGTAAATCATGAATCATCCTATTAATTGATTTTAAATAGTGAAATTGATCAGTTAGCTTTGAAAAAATGCATAAATATAAAGCTCAAGATCCAAGTGAAATACTAATTTAAATTGGAGGGTTTGGAGAGAGATTAGAATTGTTAGGTTAATAAATATTTTTGCTTAAATTTGACATACTTGGAAGTTATGAATCCTAGATACGGACACAAGACACTGACACAATACCAGAAGGACATGTGAGGACATAACTATAATAAAACATTAAAGCTATATTATTTCATACTTTTTAGTTTTGCCATGCTTCTATCGAAGCATTGCTATTGCTGCTGTGCTGCCATCTTATCAGCCTTAAAAGGAGTCATATCGATATAATAAAGCTAGATTACTTTTAGATTTTATAAACTTTGCTACTTTACAGAAAGGTCAGAGAGTCTCACTATCAAGCATCCACCTAATTTTGATTCCGCCAATTGTTTTTTCATTCTTGTTTCCTCACACAGCAGATCAGAAGTGCCAATATTTAATCGTCACAAAGTGATCATTTTTATGCCAGTAAAAGTGGTTATGGCAATTATTTAAACCTTGTCAGTCAAAACCTTCTTCCATGGTCTACTTGAAGATTAACCTATTTCCCAAAAAAGAAAAGAAAAACAGTGGAACCATATTTGTACGAAGTAACATAATTTCGTTTAGAATATGACTGAGAGAACAGATATTGTTCTTCAATGATTTTTTGAAGGAATCAAAACGTGATTCTCCGTGCTATGCTGGCTCCCTAGCCAACACTACTTCATCTTTGGGAAAATAATTAGTGCTTCTAGTTGGAAATAATGTAAATCTAAAACCTCAATGGCTTCATTTTTTTTTTAAATTTTATTATTATTATTATTATTATTATTATTATTTAACCTCAATGGCTTCATTGAAGTCAACAGCAGTTTTCATTAGGTTTTTGGTTGTTATGCGTGGATCTAATGGTGGAGAAAAATCTGAATCACTGGTTGATATCATGATATGAGTTCGTAGCCATGCGTTTTTGTCACATGCAACTTCATAATCTTATAGGCATATTATTTAGGCATTCAAACTTGGTTGAACGAGTATGAAAACTATACAGCTTAGCTTTGTCAGCAACTTGGCAGAACCTATAATCATTAACCAAATATATACACTATATTGTATTTCGTTGATTCCGAAAGTAAAATTAGACATGTATTCCATTTGAATAAGCCTTAATAATTCCAAGTTCTTGCTTGTGATTTATACTCTACGTGTAGGATGGTTTCTTTTGGATTGGAAGAATTTGCTGAAAAATATGGCACGCTTAACCCATCTCAATTTGTTGATGTCATTTCACTTGCTGGTGACAAATCTGACAACATTCCAGGTACGGTATGCCGGGCATTTAGTGGAGTAATACTGGGTAACTGTTACTTGTGGCTATTGTTTTGGATTTCCTCGTTGTAGATTTTTTATTTTTTATGCTTCATGGAGCAGTGCTTGTTACCATTCTTCTCGGGTTTAAGAAATTTAATAGTTTTTTGGAAAATTCCCAAATCCTAATTTAAACAACTCTTGAAGATTACTATAAAGTGGTGATCTTAGTTTAGTCATATATAGGTTTTGTCTCATTCAATGCAATTTACGTTACTTTTTGAAGGATAAAATATGTAAATTGTTCAAGTGGTCATTTGCTTTGCTAAAAAAAGAATGCTAAGTAAACTTAAATATCTTTTAAAAGCAATGCCAAGTGTTTGAAATATTTGGATTTATTTGAATGAATGTAATACAAATGCAGATGATTATTATTTTTGTTTGATTTGAAGTAAATCTCAACGATAGTGGTGGCCGGCGACGACGGTGGGTTGCAGTCGGTGACCGACAATAAGAGTAGAGTCAACCTGCAGTGTGTTTGTAATTCGTAAAAAAAAAAAAGCTAAAAAGATAGCTAAGTTTTGAACACAAAAAATGAATAGCGGATCAAATTTGAAATTCACCAAAATTTTATTCTTTTTTCATCAAATCAAACACAATTTTTAGAACTCTTGAATTGAGAATACTTTAAACTCATTTTGCATCAAACCAAACAACCCCTAAATGAAATTTATTTGCTGGAAATGTGTGCACAGTTACTTGGGATGCAAATCTTGGAATAGCAGTGGGACGAGGCCTAAGGGTGCATATGGAGATGAAAACTTTAGTTGAGGATTGTTAAAATTTATGGGAAGGAGAATGAAAACTTATTCTGATGCAACCAACTATGCCATGGGAGGGAAGGTTACGGGTTTATGGGGAAGGGTCGTACTTGTAAAATTCCTTTAAGCATTCCTAAGGCGGTATTGTTAAGATTAAGGGATTGGTTTTTGTTTATGTTAAACCATGTTTTTGTTTCCAGTTGTCTCAAGGAAATAAAATAAATAGGGGTCCTTGTAGCTGTAGATAAAATGAATAAATGTTTACTTGTTTAGCCATAGGTTGTGACTTATTTGAGGCCTTGATGCAACACTTGTTGGTCTTTCATCGACATTTCCAACATCAAGGGGAGAGCCGGCGGCAAGGTGGGAGGCCAAGTGGCGGCGGGTTGGAATCGGCTGTGGGAGCTGGGAGGGTCGCTGGTGGCTGGGCCGGCCAAGGGAGGCCGGCGGTGGAGCTATTGTGGCGGTGGGGGATTGAGAGGGTGGTGAGGCTTCGGTTAGGTAGGGGAAGAAGAAGATGGGTGTAGGGGAAAGGGAAAATTTAGAGAGCTACAAACCTCAAGTACCACCTCCTCAAGAACTCACAAGGAGATCTTGGTAATCTCTAGTTAAACCACTCAAGGGAGGCCAGCGATGGAGCTATTGTGGCGGTGGGGGATTGAGAGGGTGGTGAGGCTTCGGTTAGGTAGGGGAAGAAGAAGATGGGTGTAGGGGAAAGGGAAAATTTAGAGAGCTACAAACCTCAAGTACCACCTCCTCACAAAGAGATATTGGGAATCTCACGAACTCACAAAGAGATATTGAGAATCTCACAAACTCACAAAGATATCAACAATAAGAAAATTTCATTCATCAACATTATCCGATACAATATAGGAGGCCATAATATATAGGCCTAAGAAAACAAAAAAAAACTACAATGACGCAAATGCCCCTGGGGCTACAACTCACGACAACTAAAAGAAAGATTGCAATCGGGAATATCAATTAATACATAACATCAAAATAAAACTAAGCATCAAAATAAAGGTTGTGTATCGTGGCCATCGATTTGCGCCTCCTGCGCTGATATATTTGTCGAAAACGTCTGTCGATGTCCTCATCAGTATGCTTCTTCTTATCCACCACGTATGATTAAATGTTTTAACTGTGGGTTTTTGGACATTGCTGTGCTGACTACTCCAAACTCAAACCCATGGCTTGCTCACCTCAATCGGCCTTATTCATGATTAACCTCAATCTAACAAACTTAAAATGATTGTAATCGAAGAATTTGTAGAAGGTGACATTAGTTCTCTTTTGATTTTACGCCGCACATTCTTCTCTCTAAATTCCTTCGATGATTCTTGGCGGCGCATTGCTTTATTTCTATTTACATATATCATTGTTGGCAAGGTTTGTGTTGACCTGATATTTATTTTGGAAGTCAACTCAACTAAATACAACAAAGTGACGAGCGAGCGACATGACATCGTGTATAAGCTGTTCAAAATGCATTGACTGAAAATTAAAATTGCTAAAAATGTGTCTGTTTACGAAACGAGTAGCGTCGATGCATTTGGTATAGCTTAAACATCTAAGATTCATATCCATATTGACCGGATTTTTTGTTGATAAAAATCAAAATTTGAGTGCGCAGAAGGAGGTTGAGTCGACGTGCGTGAACGAGATGGATTTGACAAGCGGATCAATATGCGAATAATATAATTAATTACTTATCTTTTTTAAAATTTTTATTAGATATTTAAAATAAAAAATATTAGATATTTAAAATAAAAATTTTTATTAAGTTAAAACCCTAACTTGTAAATCGAGGCCTTCAGGTTGGAAGGAAATTTTATGAATGGACTCAGGGAAGACATATGTGCAGAGCTCAAGGTGTTGAGGCCTAAGGGGTTGAGGGAGACGATGTAGTTAGCGCAAATGGTGGAAGACAAACATCAGAGGGAGAAGGGCGGCCGAAGCAACACCATGGGACGGGCTTACAAGAGTACCTCCATGACCTTGGCACTGAGGACCCAGACGGTGTCGTTTTAGAGGGAAGCACCCAAAGGAGAAGAACACCGGAGTTCATCCTGGAGGAAATTTCAAATGCCTTACATAAGTGAAGATACATAACATGCGGGCAAAAAGATTATGCTTTAGGTGTGATGAGAGATTTACGCTGGGACATAGGTGCAAGAATCGAGGCCTTCATGTTTTGAAGGTCTGCGAGGGGGAAGAGGAGAGCGGGGATGAGTTGGAGGATGTCGTAGAGGAAACAGAGCAGTTACATTTAGATGTGTTAGAAGTATCCCTAAACTCTATGATGAGATTTACTCCTAATCACATCGTGAAGGTGAGAGGACAAATCAGGGAACAACTAGTGGTGGTTTTGGAAGGATAGTGGGGCTACACATAACTTCATCTCGAATGGGGTGTGGACCAATTGAGGTTGAAGTTTGTGAAGACAGAAGGATGTGGGGTGATAATGGGGACGAGGAAGATAGTGAGGAGTCGAGGGGTATGTAAAGGGGTGGTGATGACCTTGCAAGATGTTCAGGTGATGGAAGACTTCCTTTCATTGGACTTGGAAAGTATGGATGTGATTCTGGAGATGAAGTGGCTACAAATTCTAGGAGATATGAAGGTGAACTGGAAATCTTTGATCAAGGAGGTACAAGTAGAGGGGAGGAAGGTGGTGCATTGAGGGGATGCTAGCTTATGCAAAACCAAGGTATCACTTAAAACCATGCTCAAAATAACCAGGGTGCAGGCCTGGGGTACTTTGTGGAGTTACGTAGCATAGAAGTTCATGAACAAGAGGTAGGGAAAATTTCAGTGCGTGTTCAACAGATTCTGTAATAGTATCAAGACATATGTCAGTCACCTATAGGGTTACCACTGCCACGCAACTACACCATTAATCTAAAAGTGGGGACAAGCACATCTGGTTGTGGGTTGGGAGCAGTACTCATGCAAGACTAGATACCAATTGCATATTTTAGCTAGGTGAAAATTGTCAGGGCAAGGCTCAAGTCTTTGTACGAGTGGGGCCTAATGGTGATTGTCTTTGCTATTCATAAGTTGCGGTCTTATTTATTGGGAAGACATTTCATAGTCATGATAGATCAAAGGATTTTGAAATATTTGTTAGAACAGTGGATGGTCATTGAAGAGCATCAGAGATGGCTATCCAAGTTGTTCGAATATGATTTTGAGATCCAGTATCGATCAGGCTTAGAAACCAAAGAAGCGGACACCTTGTCTAGGAGGGTGGAGGAGCCCTAGTTTACATCCTTATCAGTACCCATGATCTTAGAGTGGGAAGAATTGAGGCAAGAAAGTGAGCAGGATGAAGGGTTGAGGAAGATCAGTGAAGAGTTGCTGAAGGGCCCGAACAATCACGGGGGGGGTGTTACTGCAACCGTTTGGGAGTAATTGATAATAGACTTCGTTGAGGGTTTGCTATGCTCGGATGGATATTCAGTAATACTGGTTGTGGTAGATCGACTGAGCAAGTATACCCATTTCATTTCGCTAAAGCATCCCTACACCACTATCTCAGTCGTCACAGTCTTTATTCGAGAGGTAGTGCGCCTACATGGCTTTCCAGAATTGATAGTATCAGACAAAGACAAAGTATTCCTTAGTCATTTTCTTAGGGAGTTATTCAATATGCAAGGGATGGTCCAGAAAGGAGAACAACATATTACTCACAGACACACGACCAAACAGAAGTAGTCAACAGGAGCGTGGAGACATACCTTGTCTAACACACCAAAACTATGTGCTAAATGGTTGGCATGGACAGAGTATTGATATAACACATCTTTCCACACAACAACGCGAACAACCCCTTTCAAGCTTCTCTATGGGAGTGATCCAACTCATCTGGTACATTACAGGCAGAGTATTACATCGATATCCAGCATCGGCCAGTACTTGGAGGAGAGAGACAAGATGCTAGCAGAATTAAAAGGACATCTGCTAAGAGCTCAATAACTTATCAAGAGAAAAGCATATGAACACATAAGGGAAGTGTAGTTTGAGCTTGGAGACAGTTCATTTGGAGTTGAGACCATATCGATAGAGGACACTGGGCAAGAGGAAGAATGAGAAGCTATCGTTACGTTACTTCGGCCCTTATGAAAAGACGGAGTGCATAGGGGTAGTAGTCTATCGTATGAAGTTACCAACATCATCAACAAAATCCACCAAATATTCCATGTATCACTACTGAGGCGTGCTATCGGAGATCACAAACCCTCTTCCTCCCTACCAGCGACATTGACTGAAGATATGGAAGTGATTCTGGATCCCATGGAGATCGTTGAAGCACGACAAAGGAGGTCCTAGTTCCTTAGAAGGATATGCCTAATTATGAGGCTACATGGGAGCCATACGAGACAATCAGGAGGTAGTTCTTATCCTTCCACCTTGAGGACAAGGTACACTTTGGGGAGGGGGAGTATTGATACGGTGGGAGAGGGCTAGTTGGTCCAGCAGGATTGGGCGGAAGTCCAACAGGAGTGGGCAGTATCTGGAGCAAATATTTTTTTTTCTATTTTCCCCGTGATTCACAATTTATAGGTTGATGTTGAGTGCATAACACTTATCTATTTACTAATATTTTCCTGTTTTCCTATCCTATTTTGTGTAGCTCAAAGGGTGCTTCGGGTACTAGGATTATGGAAATTGATATACTGACCTAGAAGGATATGCTTTGGGTATTCCCAAGTTAAAATGACTTGGATGCTGGCTTTGTAGTTCTACACGCTGGATTATGACATTTTCATCTTAGCTGATTTTCCATCTCTCCATTTCTGTAGAACTCCTATTTATTGGCTAGTTTGAATGAAGTTATAGTACGTTGGTTCATTCTATCATTTTAATGATATTGAAATGGTAATCCTACTTTGTTCGTATTTGATTAATTTGAAATCTATGACACTTAGCAGTTTAAATTGTCAAGTGATGTTTTATATTCTCTTAGAATGCGTCGTAGAAGATGTTGGTCAGAAATATATACTATGAACTAGGTTTTAATTTCTTCTTAAAAAAAGAAGAAGTAATTTCAAATCTAAGACTACTTGAGTTAATGTCCTTTTTTTCTTTCTTTTTTTTTTAGGGAATTTTGTTTTCTTTTTAATCTGAATTTCAGTCTTACAGCTAACCAATTTTGACTTTGAAAACTGTTAATGCGCTGTCTGATGCAGGAATTGAAGGCATTGGAGATGCTAGTGCTATAAAACTAATCACTAAATTTGGAAAAATTAAAAAACAATAAAAATCAGTGCTGAAAAGTTGTGCAGCTATATATATATATATATATATATATATATATTGTGACTACTTTTACCTGCCATTCTCTCTTAAATGTTAAACATTACAGAGAATTTGAAATCATTACAATATAATGAGGCATCTATATGAATATGAATGATGACCATTTGATTAACGAGAAAATTAAAATAACAGTTGCAATATGAATATCGACATTTATACATACCAAAATGTTGGTAAAACAGTTTTATCAATATGTATTCATTTCAGTTTGAAAATCCATATTGGTGTCAGCTGATGCTGTAATTTCTGATGTGGTAATCTTTATGTCGGATGGCTATAGATCTTTGACAGTTCAAAATCCAATCATTGTAATGAATTGTATGCTTTTATGTGTGTCATAGATATTTTAAAGAAAGATTTTGAACCTTAAGCCAACGTAAAGCTGATAATTTTTTTCTTGTCGTTTTTATTACAACTTTTCAATCATATTGATGTTTGGTTGATTTCCTACTAATTTCCTACTGATGTAATTCTGATTTTGGAACAATGTTTGATCTGTTTGGTGCTTAGAAATTGATAATATACAATTGTGTGCACCAGTCCGTTCACTTAGCTATGCTCCATGCATTTATCTCTCTATTTCACTTCTTTTCTATCTGCGTTCATGATAGGAAACACTTGTAGTTTTCAAGTATTTCCTATTAATCTTTGGAAAACAGCGAAAATCTTCACAAAAGTCCGCACAAAAACCACAAAAACATTAGATAACTTGTATGATTTGATGAAAGGAACACGGAAAATAGCAAGATACACTTGATCCTCAATTCGAGAGGATGATCGATCTCTCCCAAATCTCTAGACGCCGCTAGAGCCCAAAGAAAACCTAAATATAAGAGATCTCAAATTTCAACCAAATTCAAGATGCCCAAACCCTAGGAAAACAAACTATTTAATGCATACAAATCAAAAGGAAATCCCTAAACAGTCTCTACATTCAAATTTCCCTCTCAAAACCCTCAAAAAAGCTTCCTAAAAAGCTCCCGCACGGTATGCTGCTCGCTCGGCATCCCAGCGGGCAGAGATTTCTCTGCCAAGTTTGCGCTGGGCCGGTCCCGCACGGACCGGCTGGACTGTCCACTAGACCGGTCTAACAATACTCCCCTCCCGAAGATCCACCTTGTCCGCAAGGTGGAAAGACGACACTCTCCATTCTTTCTTCATCACAAACAGTAAGAACTTGAAGAGTTCGGTCCTTATATCTGTGCCCCGGCATATACCTCTCGTCACATCTGAAACAAAGCCCTTTTTCCCTCTTCTCCTGTAATTCTGTCTCAGTGAGTTTCTTGAAGTTATCCCCACTCTCTCCTCCTACTGGCTTCTCCCTGGTGGTCTCATTAATGTTGACTGATGCAGACCCCTTGGGTGCTAAAAGAGTGGTTGTAGTCTGTTGACCTTCGTATAATACCCGAAGGAAGACAAAGATAGCGACAGAAAAAATACCTCGTATCCCGTCGGATCCACGAATCCCGCTAAATCGGCGCCGCGAACGATCACTTCTCCGCACTTCCTGCGTGAAATCGGCTCTCGATCGCTGCCCCAGTCGCGTCGTTAAATACCGACCCAAACGAAGCCTTTCGCTGCTTCTCCGACTCTCTCCCATTCGTTCCACACATGCAGAAGCTCCTTCTCTGTGCCGACGCCAAATCCCTCCTACCGAGCTCTACTCGTCGCCTCTTGTAGCTGCTCTTGACTCCAAGCCACAGCCGACCAAGCACCGCCAAATCCCGATCTCCACTTTGCTCTGCTTTCCGATCTCCATACCGTCAACCTATTCCCGAATCCCTCCGGTCCTCCGCACGACCAAACTCCACCTTCAGTTCTTCTCTCCGACCATAGCCTCATCCACGACCATATCTCCTCTACCTTCCGACCTCCTCTGGCCGAGAGAGAGAGAGAGAGAGAGAGAGAGAGAACCACTTACCTTGATCCCAAGCAGCTCCCATAGCCGCTCCCTACCCGATCCAACCTGTCGCTCCCCTCTGCTTGTGTCGACTCCAAGCCGAGAGAGAGAGAGAGAGAGAGGAGAAATCGACCTTCCTCCCTACCGCTCAACTTCGCTCCGTCTCCGACGTCCCCTTCCCTGTCGTTCGGAGGTTACGACATTTTTGATCGGAAGCTACAAAGGGAGCTCGGCAGTGAAGAAATTGTTTCCCTTTTCACGCCCCATCTCCGGCTCCTTTGTGGTCGTACGACCTTGCCCCTTCATCGACATTCCTTACCTTTGGATCGGAAGCCAAGAGTGTAAACAGCCGAAGGGTTCTCTGCCCACACTAGGAGAGTGTGAAAGGATGACGGTTCTCTGCCGCACCGGGTAGTGGTGAAAAGAGTGTGTTGTAAAGGCTTCTCCGCCTTGCTGTGGGTGCAAAAGGAGAGTCACTATTGGTATTAGTGCAATACTCAGAGGGTGCCTCTGGGGAGTGGATGTAGGTCTGGTTATAAACCGAACCACTATAAATCTGGTGTCATTTACTTTACTGTTTTTATGTTTCAGCACTTTAAATTTCAGTTTTAAAAAACTCTGTGGTTGAAAATTATTTTTCTACAAAATTTAAAAGAAATTTTCATTTCGGTTCAATAATTTTCAAAAGGGGACTTAAATTTTTAAACTACAAATTCACCCCCTCTTGGTAGCCTTGGGACATTCACTTAGGCTTAACAACCTAATTACTAGATTCAACAACAACCTACTCGAAAATTCACTTGAAAATATAAAGGAAGTAAAATTTTTAGAAATTTTATTGATGCCTTTTCTCAGGCTAAAAGAAATGTTTAATTGTCAATCCAACTATCTTATCCTTATATAGTGGTTAGAGTTAAAATTTTGACATACTCTAACCTTTTAACAATAGATAACCCATAACCATCCTTCCTTTTGCTTGAAACCTATATTTATGCTATCTAACTCTAGAGGCCCATTGAAAATCAGACTTTTATTTTTAATTATTATTGTATTTTCGTTAGCTTGTTCTTTTTTAAATATATATAACTTATTCATCAAATTTAATAAATATTTATTATAAATATTTTTTTTTTTGTAAATTTTACTTCTCATATTTTTGCAATCTTTCATTTTACTTTTCTTTGTCTTTTTTTCGAGCTTGTTGGATGATTTTGCAACCTCATTGCATACGAGTGGTACGAGGATGATGATCTTTGTGTCCGTGGAGAAGATTGGTATGTTACTTTTTTTTTTCTTCTTCTTTTTTCTCTTCCTTACTCTCTCTTAATTTCTTTTAGTTTTTCTATTTTTTTTTATATCTAACTACATTGATATCTTTAATATAATCTTATCTTTTACAATTTTTTTTAACTTCCTCCTTCATCTCCTAAACAACTGAACTCCAACTTAGTTTAATATCCTCGAGCTCTAGAGATAATGTAAACCCTAACTTATCTTTAGGAAAGAGTTAACAAACCTAGATATTTATTCAATCTTTCTTTGAACACGTAGAAGGAGTGTCGATAAGTTATTAAGATTTTTTTTTTTTGATGAAAGAGATGAGGCTATCTACTATCATCATCAAGTTTTGGAAAAATTTGGGAAACATAACATAGATCCCTAGTTTGAATTGATGATGTACTTTTCATGAGTTATAATTATTTTAACATTTTAATCCTCTCATTCCTATCCTTAAATATGAAACAAACTTTAATCTCGAGCCTAAGCATTAGATGAAAAATTAAAAATTAGGTTAACCCGCTTATCTAAATCCTCCAGAGTTTTGAGCTCTAGAAGCTTGAAATCTTCCTTTTTAATGAGATTCTTTACTCTCTTAAAAGAATAAGTCTAATTTAATGCATTCTTGAGAAAACTTTGAAATTCATTCCTTAGCTTTACTGACTATTACTATCACTTTTGATATGGTTATTGACACTATTGTTGAGGTGTATAGTTATTGAAGTAAACTTTTATTAACTGCATTACATTTTTTATCAGTAAATATATCATTTTTTACAGACATTTTTGAGTTTTTTTTTTTTTTTTAATTCTACCATAGAGTGCTTTTTTAAGAATGTTAACTTGGAGGCTTCTTCTTTTAGGGTAGAGGCCTTAGTGAAAAGGTCTTGATGGTGAACACCTTCAATGGTGAATTCGTGGTCTTGATGGTGAACACCACTAGTTTAAGAATGTTCTTCAAAGAATATAAATTGCATGTTTTTCATGTGTTTCAGGTTCACACTTCTTGATCAAGATCCACCATCTCAATATGTAGTCCACTACTATCTCCATCAAGATTTTTCCCCACACCAAATCTCGCATTGTCACATTATGTTGTAAAAGTTCGTTAGGGATGTTAGGCCCTATGAACTAGTCCCGAGGCTAACCCAGAGGGGGGGGGGGGGGGGAATTGGTACGGGGGGGGGGGGTGAATTGGTACTTTTTTTAAAAAAATCTTTAAACACAAGAACAAATATCACAAACCAAAGTCACCAAAGAAAAACAAGTGCGAAAAATTAAAGTGCGGAAGCAGTAAAAAGAATACAAGGGTTTATAGTGGTTCAGTCAACTTAACCTACGTCCACTCCCCGAAGGCGCCCTCCGAGTATTGCACTACCAACGTGACTCTCCTTTAGCCCCCACAGCTAGGCAGAGAAGCTCTTACAAAACACATCTTTTTTGCCACCCCCGGCAAGGTAGAGAACCCCACTCCTTTTGCTTCCTCCAGAAGCAGGAAGAGAACCTTGATCGATCACTGAAGCTTACCTCTCCCAAACCTTCCAAGGACAAGAGACTCTAGGGAAGAAGAAGTTGAACAATGCTTGGAGCAACCCTTGTGAACTCCCTTACAAGCTCCCCCTCATAAGATCCTCTCTCACTCCCTCTCTCTCTCTCTCTCTCTCTCTCTCTCTCTCTCTCTCTCCTTTAGGTTTTCTTAGGTCAAGATAGCAGCCAAGGATGATAAAAAATATTGAATAATAGCTCTTAAATAGAAGAGATTCAAAGGAGCTCAATAAATACATGTTGCTGACTTTATCATCCAGGATGGTAATAATATCGTCCTGTACGATCAGTTCAAAACACAGATGATCGGCCAGAACATCGCTCTAAAAATGAACTAAATGATTGAAAATTAGCTTGATCATCCCAGAAGATCAGTTCAAATTAGAAGAAAATCGTCCAGAGTATCGCCCTGAATTTGAGCTGTCTGATCATGATCGGTCAGAGCATCGCCCTGAATTTGTGCTGGCCGATATTTATCATCCAGGAGCAACTAAGGATTTTTGAGTATATCGTCCTAGCTGATCCTGTGATCGTGCAGGACGATGTGATCGTATCAATCATCCTTTATTGCTTCCTTGATTGCCTGATCAATTTA